TAACACGCACACACATAAGCACAGATTCTGAAAAATTCTGGGATTGGGCCTAAATTACAAAGTTGAAGAGAAACTCAGGTTTAAGCAATTAAAGATTGAAATGGCAGAGGCACAAAGCATCCGCTAGCTTCCTCGGTGTTATTGTGAACTAGGGCTAAATGATTTTTTTTTAAAGAACTGGGGACTAACTTGGATACAGAATGCCCTGATATATCTCTTTAAAGTGGGAGCTGACAACTCCACCTAGCACCCCATTTATGCCACAGCACTAAGACTGCACTCTTGAAATACAACCCAAAATGGCCAAATTATGATAGATTCATTTCTACTTATTTTATTGGTTTGGGGGTAATGGGCAGATTCACCTAGCAAAGAACTTCTATCCCCACCCTTAACATATCCACAAAACACCAGAATTTTGGCCACATCTTTTCTCAATTTAGAACATCACAAGATGGCTTCCTCCAGCACTTTGGAAAATCAAGAGACTGAGTTGTGTTCTCTCCTACCTACCCATTCCTATTTTAGAGTTTCCCAAATCAACAGGCATGACTAGAGAGCTATAGTTAGTCAAAACAAGTAATACAAAGACTAAAGAGACGTGGTGGCACAGTGGTTAGAATACAGTACTGCAGGCTACTTCTTCTGACTGCCCACTGCCAGCAGTTCAGCAGTTCAATTCTCACCGGCTCAAGGTTGACTCAGCCTTCCATCCTTCCGAGGTCAGTAAAATGAGGACCCAGATTGTTGGGGGGCAATAGGCTGACTCTGTAAACCGCTTAGAGAGGGCTGTAAAGCGGTATATAAGTCTAAGTGCTATTGCCAGAGCAACTTTCAGTATTTTTAGGAAAGAGATGATCATTATGAAGGACCCCATGCTTTGCAGGCAGAAAGTCTCAGCTTCATTTCCTGGAATCTCACGCGAAGTACAGGTAGTCCTCAACTTACGACCACAATTGAGCTTAACATTTATGTTGCTAAGCAAGACAGTTAAGTGAGTTTTACCCCATTTTACCTTTCTTACCATAGTTGTTCAGTGAACTACTGCAGTTGTTAAGTTAGTGACACAGTGGTAAAATGAATCTGGCTTCCCCATTGGAAGGTCGCAAAAGATGATCACATGACCCTGGGACACTGCAAATTTTATAAATATATATGCCAGTTGCCAAGCGTCCAAATTTTGATCATAAGTATGAAAAACGGTCATAAGTCGCTTTTTGTCAATGCCACTGTAATTTTGAACGGTCACTAAACAAAAGGTTGTAAGTCGAGGACTATCTGTAGTTTGATATGGTGAAATAGGACACTTGTGCCAAGCAACGGGGAGTAGAGTAAACTGAAGACATCAAGCCAAAGAAACATCTACATGTAAATTACAGATGGGCAACTAGGACCCATTTATGACTTGTGGACTTCAACTCCCAGAATTCCCCAGCCAGCTCGGAAGCTGAAGTCCACAGGTCGTATAAAGGCCATAGTTACCTACCCCTGATCTATATCCAATAAGCCAGTGGTGGCGAACCTATGGCACGGGTGCCAGAGGCGGCACTCAGAGCCCTCTCTGTGGGCACGTGCGCCGTCGCCCTTCCAAGGCCTTTAGCTGGGTTTTATAAAACCTTTTCGCTTTAGGCCTCAGTCGCCGTGTGTAAAAAAAAAAAGGTCCAATCAGTCAATTTTAACTTCTTGCAGAAAAAAAAGATCTTGCAAAGTTGGAATTGATTGATTGAACTTTTTAGTCCCACCCAGTCTGCCGTTACCACCACAGCCACGCCCACCCAATGGGCCACCCAGCCAATGGGCCACACCCAGCCAATGGGCCACACCCAGCTAATGGGCCATATCCACCTGGCACCTGACGATGCATAAGTGGGTTTTGGGTTGCAGTTTGGGCACTCGGTCTCTAAAAGGTTCGCCATCACTGCAATAAGCCATTTTTAAATCAGTGATACTGTTGACTTGGTGGCAGCAACAGCAGCATAATTCAATTGGGTATCGCACCCACATTATCCTGAGGTGTTTTAATCCGCTTAGGAGCTCATGCTGGAAGGTTCTGTCATCACCACTAATCCCTGGGGCCTCTGTGGGAAGGGATCAAAAAGTCATGTGATACTCAAGGAAAAAAGAGCCTTGACTCTATGGTCATGGCCACTCTCTTAACTTTTTTTTAACCTTCCCTGGACGCACCTGCCTGATCCCATTTCCTATTTGTTCCCCTTCTTTCCATTGAAGTTTCCATTGAAATCTGTTAGGCAAAATTTTCTGCTAAAGTTCAACGGTGTCATTTTTTAATTCTACTTTTTGTTGCCAAAATTAAAAAAAAGTTTTTCATTTCCCCCCCCCTCCCAAAATAACTGTTGAGCAAAGGGTTGGAAGATTACAATGGCAATCTCCCTTATCCATTTTTCCTCTGTGCCGGAAAACATGTTCTTTTGATCAAGCAAGAAGTGTCTCTCCGACAAAGAGTCCATTTTTTAAAATTTGGATTTCTATCTCACACTTTTTTCCACTAAAGCTCTGGAAAGCGTATACAGCATGTATCCAAAGTCAGGCCCCTATGGACAAAGTTAAGCCCTGTAGATACTTTATTATAGAAATTACATTAATTGTTCAAATGGATACCCATTTTCTTCTAAACACTTCTCTACTCATTTGACACATGACTTCGGAACATTCCTAATTTGGGTAATATTTTTTGGCAAAAATATATTGAAAGAAGAAAGGAACAAAAGAAGTGAATGGTAAGGGAAGGAAATGGAAAGGGAAATGGAAAGGAAGGGGAATGGGAAGGGAAAGAGAAAGAGAGAGAAAAAGAGAAAGAGAGAGAAAGAGAAAGGGAAGGGGAAAGAGAAAGAGAAAGGGAAAGAGAAAAAGAGAAAGAGAGAAAGAGAAAGGAAAAGGAAAAGGAAAAGGAAAAGGGAAAGGGAAAGAGAAAGGGGAAGGGAAAGAGAATGGGAAGGGGAAAGGGACCGGGAAGTTGGAGGGAAAGGGGAGGGAGAAGGGAAGCAGAGGTATGACTTTCTCATGGAAATCTATTGTTACAAAAGCTCTTTAGGCTTGCTTCATTGTGAACAATGATACGATATTAATGGGTGTGCATACTGTGTGTGTGTGTGTGTGTATGGATTTTTTTAAACCCTGCTTTTTGCATAAACCAAGGGTCTGATTTGCACATCACAGAGCCGATGTCTCAGTTCGCATCACGCTAGCTCCCAAAATAACCAACCCCATTATGGTTTAACATGATCATATGATGTGACCACTGTGGAACTATTTCCTTTTTAAATTCGTAATACGCTTTTCTTCTGCTATGCAAGGGCAGCAGTAGCCACAGGGAGCTACAAATGGAAGAGGAAGGTCACTGCCTGAACTTCCTGCAAAGCTCTGTGAACAAGACAAAGAGTTTCCTTACTTAAAGAGCTTTTACCTTACAGCAGGGGTGGGGAACTATGGCCCTTTTATGACTTGTGGACTTCAACTCCCAGAATTCCTGAGCCTGGCTGGCTCAGGAATTCTGGGAGTTGAAGTCCACAAATCATAAAAGAGCCATAGTTCCCCACCCCTGCTTTACAGTATTCTTTAAGAATCCCAACAAGCTGCTTCATTACAAAGAACGACCACAATTGAGACCAAAATTTATGTTGCTAAATGGGACATTTGTTAAGTGAGTTTTGCCCCGTTTATGACCTTTTCTTGTCACAGTTGTTAAGTGAATCTCTGCAGTTGTTAAGTTAGTAACACGATTGCTAATTGAATCTGGCTTCCCCATTGACTTTGCTTGTCAGAAGGTTGCAAAAGGCCATCACCTGACCCTGGGACACAGCAACCCTCAAAAATATGCGTCAATTGCCAATTTTCTGAATTTTGATCACATGACCATCGGGGTGCTGCAATGGTCGTAAGTGCGAAAAACGGTCGTAAGTGCGAAAAACGGTCGTAAGTCGCTTTTTTCAGTGCTCTTGTAACTTTGGTCACTAAATGAACTGTTGTGAGTCGAGGACTATCTGTATCAAAGTTAGGGCTATCATGCTATATCCTGGTTTGGAGGGAGTAACCTCAGCATGTCTGATCACCCTACGCATAGCAGGTCATTCAGCATGCAGCCTTAAAATGAACAAAATCCATGGAGCAACAGAACCGCAATGGAAATGTGTAATAATTAAACAACTGAATGTGTTTAAACAAGAAATAGGGTGGCAGTTGCATCAATTTTTATCCCTTGCTCTCTGATTCTAGACTGGCAATTTTGGCCCGCTATATGACAGCACAACCAATCCAGGGGGACACAGCTATCCGTCTTAATCAAACCCACCATGAACAAGGGGACTGGAGGCTAAAACATATAAGGAACAGTTGCTGGAATTGGGTATGTCTAGTTTAATGAAGAGAAGGACGAGGGGGGACATGATAGCAGTCTTCCAATATCTCAGGGGCTGCCACAAAGAAGAGGGAGTCAAGCTCTTCTCCAAAGCGCCTGAAGGCAGGACAAGAAGCAATGGATGGAAACTAATCAAGGAGAGAAGCAACCTAGAACTAAGGAGAAACTTCCTGACAGTTAGAACAATTAATCAGTGGAACAACCTGCCTCCAGAAGCGGTGAATGCTCCAACACTGGAAGTCTTTAAGAAGAGACAGGACAGCCATTTGTCCGAAATGGTATAGGGTTTCCTGCCTGAGCAGGGGGTTGGACTAGATGACCTCCAAGGTCCCTTCAAACTATATTGTTGTTGTTGTTGTTGTTGTTATTATTGTTGTTGTTGTTGTTGTTATTGTTATTATTATTATTATTATTATTATTATTATTATTATTATTATTATTATTTCTGGTAACTCTTTTATCATTAGGGATTAATGATATACAATATAATGATAAGTAGCCTAGGATACAAAGAGACCTATAAAAGTAAAACAGCATTTCTTCCATAAACTGCTTTGTTAAATTGAATCACAAAAGGATGGCAAAACACACCTAGCATTTTATTATTAGGACTTTAAGCACTTACCAGGTTTAGGGATGAGTCCTTGAAAAGGCCTGAAAAGAAAAAAAAACATACCGTTGATTATGAAACAGAAGTAGGCTTTAAACTGGCCTTTGCGGCAAATATTAGGATCTAAAAAGATTGTGGACACTTCCACCCCCACCCCCACCCCCCAAAAAAACCTGACACACAAAAAAGAGGATCTGGTTGTAGCTGATAAGAAATAATTGAGAAATGTAGGCAGAGTAGGCACCTCTTTTGTGGCAGAGGGAATCAACCTAAAGATCCCAACCTAAGATTTCTTTTAAGAAAAGTCTGAAATTGCAAGCAAACCAGTTCAGACCATAAAGAGAGTGAGCTTTTGTTCATTCAAGAGTTGGTTGTGAAGACAGAGAAGGAGAGAAAAAGAAGCAGGTGTAACTTTTATTTCCAGGCCTGGTTCAGCCCCATCCAGGGCTAGCATGGACCCAATAAGGCAGGGGTGTCAAACTTGCGTCACGTGTCGTGTCGCAACGTATCGTGACTTTTTCCCCCTTGCCAGAGCTTGGGTGGGTACGGCTTCCACGTGACGCACCCGGCCCGTGGGCTGGCAGTTTGACACCCCTGCAATAAGGTATACTGTATCCCTCAATAAAACAGAGGAGCCCTGTTATAGGCATCTGTTAGAAGCCATGATGACATCATGGCATCATGCAAATGGTGCCAATGACTTGGCATCATTTTGTTCAACATGATATCTTTGACATAACTCACCTTTCCTTATTAAGCCTATATATATAAACTCCATCTCCTGGGCTGATTTATCAAGATAAGTGAATGTTGCATGTGAGATATCTTGCCTTCGGAAGTTGTAGATGCTCCATCACTGGAGGTTTTCAAGAAGAGATTGGACAACCATTTGTCTGCAATGGTATAGGTTCTCCTGCTTGAGCAGGGGGTTGGACTAGAAGACCTCCAAGGTCCCCTCCAACTCTGTTATTCTGTTAAGATAATGCTTTCCTTTTAGAAAGATTTTTAGAGATATTTTGTCTCAGTATTGTTTTGCCTTTGTTTTACCTTGAGGTGTCAATTTTGGATAGAATTCCCCCCTCTATGCTAAATGTAATTTTCTTTCATGCAGATTACCCAGGGAGAACTCATAATTTCATAACACAGGATATAAGGTATAAGAGCAGGTTTAAAATTCAAACAGCAACATTTTCAGTAAAATAGGATCTAGGATAACAAGCAACAGGAAAGAAACTGTGTATACTTCATCTAAGCATGGGATTGTACAAAACAGCTAATATCTCACCCTAAGCCACTTTTATATATGGTTTTTATGTAATCCACCATGTCCAGATTCACACATAATGCTAAGTCACAGGTCAGGATTTTCAAACCACAGAAGTTGAAAGCCAAGCCAAAAGTAAGAAAACCATATTAAGGCTTTAGAAAATGTTTGAACATACCACTGGGCTGAAAATTCAAAACTTATGCAAATCATTGAGAATTTTGTAGGAAGAAGATCCAATTGAGACATCCAATGTCTATGAACCAAGAGCCCAGAAAGTCACTGAGGATCAGGAAACAGAGCTAAGTTTAGCTCAGGGGTGTCAAGCTGCGGGGGCCCGCGGGCCGGTTTCATCATACTGAAGCCGCGCCCACCCCATTGCCAGCAATACAAAAAGAGTTGCGACACGTCACGTGACATGGCGAGTTTGACACCCATGGTTTAACTAATCAGTCTGACTTCTGCAATCCTATACACCAGGGGTGTCAAACTCAATTTCACTGAGGGCCGCATCAGCATTGTGGTTGCCCTTAGGGGGCCGGGTGGGTGTGGCCAGAGTGGGTGTGGCTTACTGGGCAGGCATGGATGGAGTGGGTGTGGCCTACCGGGTGGGCATGGCCAGTTCTACATCATTCATGTCAAGGGTGCCTGTGGGGGCCTGGGCAGGAGTGGGACAGATCTGAGGGTCTCTGGCAGAAGGGGGTGGGACCGGGGCAAATGCCAAGGCATGGTCCACCGGGGCAAGTGCCAAGATGGCCACCACAAAATTGTATATTGGCTCCCGGCTGGCCTGGGCCAAGGCCAAGGCAGCGGGGGCCGTTCTCTCACTGTTTCCAGGATGGCTTCGCGGGCCACATGAAACCACTTTGTGGGCTGCATCCGGCCCCCGGGCCTTGTGTTTGACATGTCTGCTATACACTGATGCATTTCTCAGCTGTTTTGGTTTTACATACCACATTTAACCAGGCCAATTACAAATCAAGCAGGTGCATTTTACAATGTGCAAAGTTTTGTTAGCATCTAGATTTGTACTTGTAAGTCTTAGCAGGTTGTATATGTAGATAGCATAAACCTATCTTGCTTGCTTATAATTCATTGTACTGTGCAAACTCAAAGGGTAAATTTAGTAACCAGATTAAGTGAATTGTATAAATGCAACCACCAGATGGCTGCTGACATCATACAATGGTATTCTAACATACTGTATTTTCCCATATTGAATGCCATTTCATACTAATCTAGTGAGCTGGCAGACCAAAAATAAGACTTCTTAGTGGAAACCCTTAAATGTCTGGGATTCTCTCACCAAAGACAGACATTGGATGGTATTGGGCTGTCTTTTTGAATATTGTTGTTATATTATTCCCAGGCCTCATTGATTCCAATGCTTTTACTGCAAAGCATTCATCAAATAAATTCAACTTTCTGATATTTTTAGGTGGCCATTTTAAGGTTTTATCAACTGACTTTTTTTTTCAACTGATGACTTCAGTGTTTAACTGTTTTCAGTTTATATTTTTAACTACCAGAAGCAAAGCTTCCATATAATAGACTAAACTGAGTGGAGGGGTGTCCATTTTTATCATCTATTAAATGAGAGTACATCAATCATGGTAGATGTCGGCAGGCAAACAATACAAATTATCCTCATCATTTATGTGATGTGTGTAATAGCGTATTTAGGTAAATGACACATCACTGCATACTGTCTACAATTATGCAAATGACATAAATTCAGGAAAAAAATATTTCCCTTGCATGCATAGTCTATTGAGGTGAAGTCCATATTTGTCCAAAAGGTGCATTTATCCAAAAGGAAGGCTATCTTGACTTTAAGACAACATCTCTCAAGAGAAAATAAGACTGAAAATCATATTTTATTCCAAAATCTATATGCCATACTTATTGTATTCTCAATGATAATATCACAAACTTTTTTAAAAATAAATTATCTGGAGGAATGGAGAGACCTAGCTGTCTATTCAAATATAAGATTTGACTGTCCTCCACTTTGGGAAAAGTTCTTTTGGAAGATAGGTTAAAATATTAGACAAATAAAAGTGATATTTGGAGAAATCTACTGAAGTATCTGCTTCAGTGATGGCGAACCTTTTAGAGACCGAGTGCCCAAAAACTGGCCCCACTCCCACTCCACCCCCTGCCCCGCCCCTACCCCGTCCCCCACCCCACCTGCTGGCAGGGCCACTGCAGATCACCCAGGCAGCCCAGCAGCGCCATGGTGGCCACGCCCTCTGCCCGCGCCCCACAGCATCAACTGTGCGGAATGGGGCATGAGGGCAGAATCTTGTCTACGCTGCCTGGCTGCCATGTCCTTGGCTGCGCTGCTCCGTGTGGGCCATGCTCGGGGACGACTCTCCTCCAGGGGGGCTGCTGGTGAGGAGGGGATCGTGAGGGGAGGCGAGGCTGGAGCAACAGCACGTGTGCCCATAGAGAGGGCTCTGAGTGCCGCCTCTGGCACGCGTGCCATAGGTTCACCACCACTGATCTACTTCAAGATGAAAGACTTAAACATAGGTGAGAAAGCAGACTAACACCCACTACAGATTCCCACTGCTGCAACCTGATGCGTATTCCTAAGGAGAAATACCTTGTAACTGTGAATTTGATCTTGTCCGCCACGGCTAAAATCCTCTCCAGATTCTGAGAGCCGAAGGTGCAAGGTTTCCGGAATGGGATTCCTGGTGGCAACCCTTCTATGATCACTGAACCTGGATTGCTTTTGATACGCTTATATGGCACTTGGACTGGGTATTTGATGCCCAAAGCCTCACCTGAAAGGAAGGTATTATGAAGAAGGAGTTAGTCTTTTGCCACCCCTGATGTTGTTCTTGTTCAGCTTCGAAGAACAGTAAGCAGGTTTGGAAAAGGTGAGAACAAATTATGTCTGTCTTCAAACCTCCAAGGTCAGATGATAAACCAGAAGAATTTAGTATTGAAATATCTATTTTTCTTAATTTCATCATTCCTATAAAAAGTGCTTGTTAAAAGGAAAGTGCCAAAAGCAGGAGTGTGTATGGTTTGTCTACTGTAGAGAAACAATGGTGGCAAGGATCACTCCCCCAAAGACTGTATGCTTTTATGTTATGTAATCATTAAGAAAAAAAATCAATCAAAAATTCATGCAGATGCTTGCCTGTAAGTTTGCAAACTAAGGAACAGTTTCACACATGATGTGATAGATAACACTCTGCTCTATCCTGCCCAGTTCTCCTACCAACTGGGGCCTAATGCCACACACAACTCCCCAGCAATGGACTCTTGTCAAGGTTCTTACTAGGCATATTATCTGAACTCCAGCTACACACGTGAGAGCTTACTCTTGGGTGGCCACAGGCTCCAAGGAAACTGTGTCTCCTACCTTCACTTTCTGAATTTTTCGGTAGAGCTGGACTC